TTTCATTTGATCACTCTTGTATATAATATGAAATAATTCACTATTTATTGAATTCATGATGGTCTCGATCCGGCCAAGTATCCGCATGATAATTATTTTTTTAGTTTACCCTCCCTTAGTTTACTTTTAACCCTTAAACAATTGCTTTATTAGCACACTTCCACATTTCCATTTGAGCACGTGTGGGATTTGGTTAGTTTGCCTCTCCCTCGTGATCCGCGTCCTGCTGCTTCAAAAGACGAACTTTTGCTGCGCATACAAGCAATATGGAATTATTTTCATTTAAAATCTGTTTGACTCCATGCCCCATTGTATAGCAGCACTTATTACAGTGTTTGCTGACTGCACCAAATACTGATTTTGGAAACTTAACACTGTTTTTTTTCTTTGAAAATTTCGTCATTTATTTGTACTAATACATGCCGTTTGTGCATTAAATTTCATTTATTTGGGATGATTCCTTCATGATATTGCATTTGTTACAAGCAGCAGTATATATATGAACTCTTTAGAATATTTTTAGCAAAGTCTATGTTATAACAAAACTATATAGAAGTAAATAATTTTTTTAAATATTTCCCATATATATATACTCGAAAGTTATTGATTTGCATAAGGAGAATGTGATTTATATTTTAATGTAGTTTTTTTAAAACCATATTCACTCAACTTAGGTTTGAGTTCTTTACTGAAAGCTAATGATAATGCTTTTCTTTGAGTTATTGATTTTGTGACACTGTTATGCGTAAAACAGCGTTTCCAAAAATAAGAACATCGATTGTGAGTGCACCAGATTGCATTTATTTGACGGGAAAGCTTTTTCAAGCAAATGAAGCCTTTTATTTATTTTAGCAAGAAAGATCGGAAAGAAACAGATTGATTCTTATCGCTATACTAGTTACCGATACTGCGTATGATTCTTTCTATTGCTTTATGAACAACGTCATCGGTTTTATGGCTCAGATAATTTCCAAGTACTATTGCTTTTATTTCTCTCTGAAGAATTTATGTTCGGGCTTACATCATTTACCGAAAAAGAAAAGCGTCATGAACAGTGTCTTATCAGAGATGTTATTTGTATTTAATAAAAGAGAACACAATAAAATTAAAGAGGTATTGTGGTAATTTTTACGACTGTTTCATTTTCGATTTCTGGCATTTCTCTGTATCCAGTTTATACATGTATTTTTAAATGCCTTATCTTTTATATAAAAAGAGAGAGAGAGTAGTGAAAATTGTGTGATTATAATTAATCTCTAACCACTAATTTTAGTGGTGTTGCCTTTCATTAGTAAGAAATTCAAGTTAAAAAAAAAGAAACATTAAGGATAAATGGATTTTAATTTAAAAGTCTTGTTGCTTTATATTTACAGATAAATGCGAATATGTCGATAAAAATATTTATTTCTTATTTTGTGCACAATAATTCGTTTTACTTAAAATGTTATTCTAATAAACTTTTATATTTCATAAATTTCTCTCATGTTTTTTAAACATTTTTTTTGAGCGCGCCGAAACATTTTTTTTTTATCTGTGTATGACAAATGACTTGAATGGGATGGAGGAATAATAATTAACTTCTTTTCTCAACAATGTAGGGTACACACGATTTTACGAGAAAATTGGATTTTATTTGTTTTTCAGAATTGAACTTTAATAATTTCTTTATTATCATACAGAACAAATGAATAAAGATTAAGTTTTCCAAGAAAAAAATCCAATCTGCATCAATGTATTTTGATAATCTTTATTTCTTTTGTTCGCTATATTTATTTACATAGAAATAAGTTTTTATTGCAAATAAATTGAAATAAATTAAAAAAATATATAAACGGTATGGAAAATTTGAAAATTCAGTTCCTGTGTAATCTTGTGCTGTTTTGCAATTATAACTAAATGTATACATTTTTTCAACAGATATGCTTATATTAAATTATTTAGCAAGCAATTTTTTCACTGTGTCAAAAATTTACGTTTATTTTATATTTATATGTCTTGTTCATTTATTACAAAAATCTTATTTACAACTATGCTTGTACACTAAAATAATTTGGAGAGAAAACGTATTCAAAATATTTCGATTAAGAATATGCAAATTATATATCTAATCGCTTCTAAAGAGGATTTACACTAAAATGGTATGTCTAGTAAGAGATATAATACAATATACTTCGCACTTATAAAGATACAATAATACAAAGATATAGCCTTTGTTTGCCATTTTATATCAACAAAATTACATTGCGTTACCCATGCGAAATAATGAAAATCTATCAAAACGAAATGTTTCTTATATTCAGTTTTAATATTTATGTTTAACATCTTACTGATACAGGAGTAAATAATAATGAATAATTCAACAAAATGGCGTAAATAATGTTTAATAATTCAACAAAAATGTATACTTAAAACTGAATCTTAGGGCATATGTAAGCTCTTAATTAAGTATTTCACAATTCATTCTTTTAAATCGCTATTTCATAAATTGTTAGCCAAATAAAAGGACCAATGCCAATACAACAATAATTACTAATACAGGAGTAAATAAAAATGAATAATTTAACAAAATTGCGTATAAATAATGTTTAATAATTCAACAAAAACGTATACTTAAAACAGAAGCTTAAGGCTTATGTAAGCTCTTAAATAAATATTTCACAATTCATTCTTAATTGCTATTTCATAAATTTTAAGCCAAGTAAAAGGACCAATGACAATACAATAATAATTTTGTTCCATAGTCCTGAGCAAGTGCATCAGGTTTAACGATTTCCCATTTCCAGATTTGGTAACCAATACCAGATCCCATTTTCAGATTTGGTGACTAATTCCAGATCCCATCTACAGATTTGGCGACTAAAAGTTTTTACAACCCTAAAGCGAAAACGCTCATGGTAAACACAAATACAACATACAAAAAAGATTAATTCATCAATGAATTAATGATAGTTTAAAAAACTATGGAAAACACGATTTTATTGTAGATCGAGCTAAGAAAGTGAAAAATGAAAGTTTAAAAAAACTAAAACACACGCTTTTATAGTCAGTCGAATTAAAAGTAAAAAATAATTCTTAATACAAGAATAAAATGATTAAAGAGAAAATTAATGTCATTGCGGTAAAAGCGTGGGTTGCTTGATATCATTTGTTATACTTTCTTACTAGTTCTATTCCGAAATGAAGAGTTAGTGTAAAAATATAGTACAAAGAATCCCACGCTCTTACCCCAATGGCATTAATTTTCTCTTTAATCATTTCATTCTTGTATTAAGAATTATTTTTTACTTTTTAGTTCGATTAACTATAAAAGCGAGTTTTTATGTTTTATTAAATTTATAATTTATTTTTCTCTCAAACTATGGACCGTACAGGTACGCTTTTTTGTGTGTGTTCTCCCAGTGAGGATTTAGGCTGTGCAAAATTTAGATGCCATCTTTGGGACACTCTATATTGCAGGGGCGGGCAGACTTTTCCAGGGTACGAGCCATTTCTAATTTTTTCAAAGTGTGTTGCGGTCCACCCAGTATCAGTTGCACACACTAATGGGTAAGGGCAGGGTCTACGGGTCTGGACTATCCTCTATGGCCCATAATTCTTTTTCGATCGATTATAATCCCATGTAAATAGTGCGTAAAATTTAATTCTTTGTCATTAATAATTTTTATTAATGAATGCTAATTATTTATTCCTTACTGTTCTTTGTTCCCGACAATCTACTAAAATAAAAAAAAAATGTTTGCTATCGTATTGGGGTAGGACATGAGAATGGTACACATTCGACCCTAGACCACCACGCCCCATCCCCTTTGAAAAATTAACCAGTGCTCCCACTGACCATGGTCGTAGGTGTGGTGAAATAAGGAAAGAGTCAACAATATTTATTATAACTTAATAATAAATACGGAATATGTACTTACCTAAGTAAATAAAATGAATAACTCATTTTTTTGGAACATCGTTTAAAGCAAAACGCAAGATACAAACATTATCATAATAGCAACAATTCTTTTTCTAATGATGCATTTATTGTCAAACAATTCAAAATACATTAAAAAATAAAACATTTTCATCTAAAGTTAGTTCTCGTAATTATAGTCAGTAGAAGCCTTAGTCTGTGTACTGTCAACCAATCTTGAATATTTCCTTATACAATTACTAACGTCTAATATTCAGGCGGTCACTCCAAATTGTCTTAGCGATCCACCGGTCGATCGCGATCGATGTAATGCTCACCCCGGCTATATTGCTTATAATCAATTTCTTCTAACTAATATCAGAAAAGATACATTACAAAAAATTATAATATAAAAATAATTGGATATGTTTATCAAACATTGTTTCTTTCCTTGTAAATAATAGGATCAGATTTTATAATTCATCATTTTCCCACAATTTCTTGATCCACGGTGAATTGGATACGACGGCCAATTTCTTGATACTAATTTAATGAACTGAGCCGGAAGATAATATTAATAATGGAATTTATGATAAATTTAACTAATTTTATTGGATCATGTTAAAAAGATATGACTCTTAAATGTCGTTAACAAAATTATATTATTTGTACTTTTGTTCTAATTTAATATTAATCTTAATAAACTAATGAAAATGTGTATGATATTATGGAAAACCCCACGTAAAAAAATTTCTTAATCTTTTTACTAGTTAAAATTTTAAAAATATTGCATTTGGGAAAATTTAATTTCCCGATTTTTAAGGCATTACTTCTTTTCCATGCCCTACTATTCGTTTTCACTCATATATATATATATATATATATATATATATAATATAAAATTTTCAATCAATCGTTAATAAAATACTTTTTATTCATGCATTCAAGATCAAATACATTTTTTTAAAACTTGTCGTAGATGACACTCGAAGTTAATACAGTTTTTTCAACTATTAATTCATTAATTAAATTAAAAAATGAATAAATAGTAATAAACAAAAATAATAGCCCAACAACATATATATAAATGAAAATCGTTTGCTTTGTCCCTGTAGCGCAAAGGATAGCGCGTTGGATTTTTACTTCAAAGGTTGTGGGTTCGAATCCCACTTGGGATGGTCTAATTTCTGAGACTGGGATTTCTTTTTTACTATACTATTTTATTGGAATAATGAAATTTTATTCATCGATAAAAAGAAGAAACAAAAAATATTGTCCAACACCATACATAGAAAGGAAAATGGAAAATTGCAAGGAAAATCGCTTTCTCTATTTTGTCACTTAATATTGCGATTGTGTAATACGCATTAGATATTTTATATATTAATTGTAACTATTTAATAAGAAGTAACTAAAATAAAATTTTTCTTTGTTGACCTAAGTAAGAATTGACTTAATTTTTTTATTTTATGCGTTGAAAGTAAGGTCATTTCGGTATTTTATATTTCGGTAAGGTATTTCGGTACTATTCAGGAAAAAGTTAAATATTTATTCACAATTAATCAAAGCTTGTTTCCCCAGAAAAATTTGATTTTAAATAAAACAACTATCATGCATACTCAAACACATACCTATATATATTTAAAAGAAAATCAATTTTTCTTCATCATTATTTGATCTCCGGATCTAATACGCCAACAGGCATACAATTTGGCAGGCATACTTTTATAGAGTAGAGAACCACTTTGAAGGTGTTTTGCGCGGAAATTCGTTTTCGTGTATAAGAACAAAAAATCACATTTTTCACTGTTATAGCATTAGACTTGAAAATTAGTTTATTGTTTCTTTTGTTCAGTTTGAGTAGAAATCCACAAAGGACTGGTTTTACGAAAATCAACTGCGGGGGCTTTATAGATAAAATCTCTCGAGTTTGAACTATTACACGTACAGATTTGAAATTTGGAAACCATGTTTATTTTGTTCAGTAGAAGTCCACTTGAAACGGTTTTTTTTAAAAAATATGCTCTAGGGTCAGTTAAGGGGGCTATGCTTCCGTTTTGGAAAGTTAAATTCTGCCCTTTTTGAATCAAGAAGCAATAGTTATAAAAATATTTTTGAATTTCTAGGTATATATTATCTAGGACCCATAAAAATGCACACTTATAAAGAGTATATAGTCGTACAACATCTTGAAATGCACTGTGAATCATGCGGGTGAATGCTAATATTATATATATATAATGTAATTAGGACATTATGCATAATCTAGGGCATAGTTTCTCAACGTGGGCTATAACGCCCCCTTGTGGGCGTTTAAGGCTTCCAGGGGCAGTAAAAAACGAGAAAATTAGGGGGCGTTGAGATGACACAGAGGGGTTTGGAAAGATTAATCAATTATAGTCTAAAAATGTGACTAAAAATACGTGCTTATTATATACTAACAAAAGTCAGCTTTAATACTGTTTACCTTATGTTGATTGTATGTATTTAAATCATTTTTATGTCACATGTACGAAAATTCAAATATTTCGGTAGTTCGGGAAGTGGATGAAAAACTTAAGGATTACATTACATTCTGACCTACATTAAATTGAATAATATAGTGCATTTTTATTTCTGTAGTGCACGTGTTGTCTTTGTCTGTGAGCAGTAGGAAAAATGCTTCGTCCACTGCATTTCATTTCGTATATATCCAAGAAACATAATGAAATATGTTAACCAGGAATTAAAAAGTGATTCTTTAAGGACTAAAACTGTCAATTTATATTTATTTTGAAAGCAATAGTTTATTACGAATTACTTCGTATCATCAAAACCCCTGCCTGTCTTTAAAACAGGTAAGCTAAAACTTTTATTCCACTGTTTTAAATGAAGGAAAAACTCAGTAGCATTTCAATTCCAACAATGCCCTTTTTATGAATAAAATATATAATATTACTCATTTAAATATATTTGTGGCAATAGCTATTTCAGACTTGCAATTAAAAAAATTGGGGCTTTAGAAAAAAATTAAATTTAAAAATATGTTTTCTATTTGCAATAGGATACTTTTTAAAATTTAACTCTTTTTTTTAACATATATTTACCAACTTGTTTCTATCTTGTGTTTTACCATGTGCACTGTTATTTCTGTAGGGTGGGAGGATGAGGTATCGAGAAATATTCGCAAGAAAAGGGGGTGGTATCAATATATTTACAAGAATAGGGGACTTTAGTTCAAAAAAGGTTAGGAACCTATGATCTAGGGGCTTCATTTATGTATTTTTGAGTTTTATTCTTTCAATATCTTGCCCACTACATGGTAAGTGATATATATCACAGTTATATTACATAAACGTATTAAATTAATTTCATTTTCCATTTACAGACAGTAAGGTAAAATATCAATATGAATAATACAATACTAATTCTTTTTATTAAGCATTATTTTTCCTGACAAAGAAAATTAAAATTTCACGAAAAAGTGTTTATGAAACAGCAGGAATAGTAACAACGATACACACTTAAAAAAAATCGAAATTTACAAATAAGGAAAAAATACACATACAAATGTTCATGAAACACGTAGAGTAAAATATACCTTTTGCGAGCTCCGTTCACTATTGAAGTAGCAATATCTTCTGGAACAACTTTAGATTTCATCCCAGCTCAGTCGAGAGAAAATATTTCTCTAAGAAAGACTGGCGCAGTTAAAGGCCGAATTTAAGCCTCTAAGCGCTCCGTAGTGTTTCCGCTCCTCTATAATCGAGATGGCCTGCTGTGTCGAAAATGGCGGAGAGCAGTCGCTTTGTACTGGGGTTTTATTGTCCTCAGCGGATTATTTCGATGGGAAAGCTAGGACTAAAATAGTATCTGTCAGAGTCGTGAATTTTCTCCTATGGACTTTTGCAGGTGAATTGGACTTTACAAAAATTGGTTCTGCGAGCTGAAATTCTTTGTGTTTGCCTGAGCATGAAGATAAAGGGGATAAATCCATAAGCGCGCGCAGATACGGAATATGAATTTATTACTATTTAATTCCGTTGCTCAGATAATATAGATTTAAAGACTATTTCTACACTTATATTTGTAAAACTTTAGACAATTGAATAAGGAAATCAATAAAATTTAATTAATTATGTATAATTATTAGGATTTTGGTATTAAAGTTATGCTTTGAAAGCAAATTGCAATTAAGTGCAGCGAAGTTGGCATTGAAATGAATAGTAATGCCCACTTCGCTGGGTTTTTCATTGTACCATATGACTATATAATGTTTTGTTAAACTTCTCCTTTTTTCTAAGTAGTCCTAGCGTTAAGCTTTTACAGTAGTGAAATATATTTCAAAGGTATCGCCTCATGATTTAAAAAAGACAGGTCTTGAATTTCGAAAACGGAAGCATATTTATCTTTTTTGCATCCATAACCAACTCTTCGAAACGATTTTTACAAGCCCCTTATTTAGTATTCCTTCTAATTAAAAACAACAATAACAAAGATATTTTCCAAATTTCAAGTCTCTCAGTCTAGTCTTTCAAAAATGGGAAAATGATATTTTTTTTTCTATAATCCCTTTAACTTCCACCCTGGAAGTTGATTTTCATACAACCCCTTTTCTAGTAGATCCCTATTCAACAAAAGGAGAATGCTTACTAAATTTAAAATTCTAAAGGTGTAATAGTACGTAAACGGGAAGTTTTGTTAGTAACTCTCCATGTGAGTTGATTTCCACAAAACCCTTTTTTTATCGCATCTCTATTCAACAGAAAAAACATGATTGCCGAATTTCAAGCTTGCAAGTCAGATTATCATAAAAGGTATTTTTTACATCTGTAACCTCCCCATCAATCCCCATTTGGAAGTCGATTTTTTCTCAAAACCCATTTTCTCCGGATCTGTACTAAACAAACTAAGCATATTTCCAAACTTCAATTCTCTAGATCTTGTCGCAAAAATTTTCTCATTGGAATTTTTGCTCATAACACATATATGCATGTTTAATTTCAAGTCGGAAAGTCTAATATTTAGGGGGATATCGAGATGAATTAGCAAGTGAGTCACATTTCTCACATTTATACACATAGATTATATTACACCTGTCACGTCGACTTTCGGAAGTACCTAGAATATAGAAATTACAATGTTGATGGCATTTTAAAGTGCTGAAAGTGACCAATTGGAGAACTGTCGCCTCCCGGAGGACAAGATGGAGGGATGTTCTGAGGAAAGCCTTGGCCCACCCCGGGCTGTCATGCTAAAGAAGAAGAAGAATGTTGATGGCACTGCAATTTTTCCAGAGAATTGCATACGTATTTATTCACTTTATCAACTCTAAGCATGTGCTAGATGTGGTGCTGGCAAACCGCGGCCTTTGTATTGACGGTTGCGGCTCTTTAGAATTTTGCCTCTATCAATTTCTAAAAATTATGTCGATGGAAAAAATTTTACCCTTCCCTTTATCTTTTATAAATGTGTATTGAAAAGTGCATTTGTACACATTTGTACAATTGGTTGGCTTAAAACATTTACTCCTTTATTAAATTGTTTAGAGGCAATGAAGTTTAATGAGATACAGTAAAATATTACTTCTGAAGCGGTTTAAGTCTAATTTATTGCTAAAAATGCCAATGAGGTAAGCAAGGTAATTTCCTCCAATATATTTATTTATATGCATGAATTCGGGAACACTCGTAAACGGCAAAAGATGTTTTTAAACCCCAAACAATAATAACAAAACAAATTCCTTACTTTTAACGTGATTAAGGGTTAATAAGAAGAGTAAACTTATTTTTACATGCAAAAACACCCAAAGTCAGCTTTAATTATTAAGTGTAAACATGAAATTCCAAAATAAAGCAATTAAAATATTGATATGGAAATTGTTTTGACATTTGAAAGTTTCTGAACATTATGATATTTATATAATTGTTCTTGAATTGAGTCACATAAACAAATACATTTAGTAGTTCTTAATTTTTGAAAGAAATTTTTACACAAGATTAACTTAAAGTAAATCTTTCTTTAATCAGCGATTCTCAAACAGTGGGAGGCATTTATCTTAGAGGGAGATAACTCTACCAGGGAGCGAGAGCATATTGAAAAGTAAAAAAAAAATATTTAAAAAAAATATTAATTTATTGAAAGTAAACAATAGAAAATACATTCACACATATAATAAAAATTAAAATACTCACACATT